GGGGCTGGGGCAGGGAGTTAGGGAGAATTAGGGCAGGAGGGCAGGGAGTTAGGGAGAATTCGGGCAGGAGGGTGGTCCTGGAGTGGGGCTGGGGGCAGGGACGCAGGCAGGGAGGGGTGGTGGGCGGGGAGTTAGGGGAAGGGGTTGGGGATGAAGTTGCAGAAGGAGAGGCTGAGGGCAGAGACTTGAGGCAGGGTAGGGGAGTTGGGGTAGAAAGAAGGGAGTAGATGAGGGTGTCTGAGCATTTCCTGCAGGTATGGTGTGAACCTGTGTCCTGAGCGTCCACTCTTGAGTTCTTGTGATGTCAGTAAAGAGGCGTATCGCTGTTGATGCACACTTACTGGTCACGTGACCCTGGATGCAGGATCACTGGTCATGTGACGCTTGACACCCGCTTGCAGGTCCTATGACCCCCTGACACAGTCTCTCTGATCATGTGACCTCTGAGACACTCCCACGGGCCATGTGGAGCCTGTCAGCGGTGGTAGTGCTGTGCTCTGTGTGGTTCTGGTGCATCACAATGCATGTTGTGTCTCAGATGAGGAGTTTGATGATGTAGAAGACAAGACCAGTTACAAGGCCATGCTGACGCGGGACGAGAGGCGCTTTAAGAAGGCCAACCAGGATGGAAACCTCATCGCTACCAAGGAGGAGTTCACAGCCTTCCTGCATCCTGAGGAGTTTGACTACATGAAGGAAGTTGTGGTTCAGGTACAGGAACAGACACACTGACTGGACACTCCAGTACATTAACACTGCACTGAGAGAGAGGGGTTAATACACACACACTGACTGGACACTCCAGTACTCTATCACTCTCAGTCTAGAGTACTTCTGTCTACACTCACTCTATCACTCTCAGTCTAGAGTACTTCTGTCTATACTCACTGTATTGCTCCCAGACCGTGGTAATGCCATCTACAGCTCACGTCAGAAAGGCGTGCTGTGGAATGAGCCCTGCCCCTCCCCCGTGCAGGAAGATCGTGGACCGCATCGACGGCGACAAGGACGGCTTCATCACCCACGTCGAGCTGCACAGCTGGATCAGGCACCGGCAGCAGCGCTACATCGACGAGAACGTCATGAAGCACTGGAAAGAGTACGACCTCAACAGGGACGACTACATCTCCTGGGATGAGTACAAGAACACCACCTACGGGTACTACCTGGGTAAGAG